TCCCTCTTTCTCTGATGTCCTTGGCAGAGGAGGGGATCTCGGCAAAATTTAAATAGTTCTGCAACATTTTGCAATTGAGGGCGTGGTAGCCGAGTGGTTAGAGCATCGGACTTTGGATTGGTCGACACTTTCAGGTTCGGGGGTTCGAGTCCCGGCCGGCGCGTTGTTCCCCTTGGCAAGGAACTTTACCTTGATTGCCTCCGTGGCCTTTGTGTATGTCTGTGTTGTCTATATCTGTGTATGCCCTTGTGTCTGTCTCTATGTGTGTGTATCTGACATGTCTCGTAAAATTTGTATGTGTGAATTTCAGAAAATTCTGAGGGAAAAGAAAATATAAATTAAACAGTGCGAATGGAAAACGATAGAAAAGAGCGAAAAGAAATTGAAGTGAAAATTACGAAGAGGAAAATGCAATATAGAAAATAAAAAGGATATGTGAAAGAAAAAGTGCGAAATAAAAGTGAAAAAATTGTGAAGTGCGATGTATAAATCATAAAAATCCGATAGAAAATAAATATGAAAGAAAGAAGCGAGAAGAAATTTCCGAAATCTAATGAAAAAGTGAAAAAGTGCGAAATTCCGGAATTTTCTTACTTTTTAAATGAAAAAGTGTGAAGGAAATTACGAAATAAAGTGGAGGTGCGGAATAATAGAAAAAAAAATATGCGCGCTGTAGCTCTTCAAACAAGGATACGAAATATACTGTGAGGCGATAAGAATACGATATCATAAAAAGTACGTTATACATAGAATTGTGTAACATATAAAATCGAAAAGTAAATATTGATGGTAGAAAAATGAGCAATTGGAACAATCGAATAACAGAAAATAATGTAAAATATATGTTTTAATGAAATGTAGAATGCAAAAGTATAAAGTATATGTGTATAAGAACAAAAGAGATAATAAGGCGACATATGACAAAGAGTAAGAAAATCGTTATTTGTGCGACAGAAATCCAAATCGAAAACATTGCTATGAGAAAAAAAAATGTGAATGTATAAATGATAAAAGTGAGAAACAAAAATAAATGTGAGAAGTTCTTAATACAAAATAATGCTATAAAATTAGGAATAGATTGTAAAAAACTGTAAATACTATGAAAAGATGTGTGAGCTGGGTATGAGGCTGAACTACATCCAGCTGTGGACATGGGTCTTTCTCCTTGCTTTGTTGTATGTTACCATTAATTACAGCTAATTCCGGGCCACGCTTACACAAGGCCCGCATGCCTCCCCATAATGGTTACGTGAAACCATGGAATGCAGGCGTTAGATAGAGCTGGAAGAGAGATAGAGCTAGAAGCAGGTTGAAGGTTTTTCAACTTATGGTTGCAGGTCTAAGATGTCAGGCAGAGAATCTGAAATGAGGCAACGGCTGAGATCAACGTCCAGGAAGGACACTGCTCCTACGGGAGAGAATGGGGGGGGGGGTCACTCTGGTATTTTGTCCTGGTTATTCACAATAAAAAAAAAAAAAATCAACCCCCAATGTCAGTATCTGATACGGCACTTTCCGACGTCGACGAACATAAAATAACTGGAATGGGAGGGAGAAACTAAGGGAAAAGGGAAACAGCAGAGGGAAGAGGAAAAGGAAATAATTGAGGGTATGAGTGAAGGAGGGGGAGACAATAACAGAATAATAATAAGAAAATGATAAAAATTTGAAAAAAAAATCCCGGGTCCCTCACCGAAAAAAACACATTGCGTAGTAATAATGCAAAATCTGAGGAAATAGGAAGAGCGAAGCGAATGGAAAGAAAAAGGAGAGAAGGAAATGGATGACGGGGGTGTGTGAAGGGGAGGGAGAAAGGAACAGAATAGTATGATAAGAAAATGATAAATAAAAAGAATGGGAGAGAAAGACGGAAAGCCTTGAGGGAGTGAAAAGGAGAGAAAATTATAGGGTAATAGTGAATAGAAAGAAAGCGACAAAATAATAAGTTAGAGAGATTTCATGATAATACAAATTAAAATGGTAAATTAAAATAGAAATTACGTAAAATATAAAAGCGACAAGGATTATTATTCCTGTTTTTATAATTCTTGTTTATTTTTTTATAATCTAGTATTATCTTTATTATTATTATTATCATTATTACTTATCAATATCATCATTATTATTATTATTAATTATTATTATTATTATTATTATTAATACCATTATCATTTGTTTTCTTATTATTGTTATCATTATTATCATCATGAATATTATCACTTTTATTCGAACACCTATTCTGTGTCTTTATGGGAAATGACATCGGCGTCAGAGAATCTCATGGCACTAGAAAGAAGGAAATGAAGGAAAACAGATAAGTGGATAGGGTCATTTATTGATAAGATGCTCTACGTATCGTTTGTGTAAATTAATAATTTCTAAATACGGAGAGAGAAAGAGAGAGAGAGAGAGATGGATGGGGAGGGGGAGGGAGAGCGAGAGCGAAAGGTTGAGTGACAGGGAGTAGAAGAGAGAAGAGAGGAAGAGAGAAAGAAAGATAGCGAGGGGGGAGAGAGGGGGGGGCGAGAGAGAGAGAGGGGGGGAGAGTGAGAAAGAGAGAGAATGAAGGGTTAGGAGAATGAAAGAAAGAGAGAGAGAGTGAGAAAAGGAAAGAGAGAGAGTGAAGAAGTGTTTTTCCGTAACAATACAACAGAATAGATCTAATTCCGAATTTGCGAATCAGTTTCGTGTTTCAATACATGAAAAAGAGTCTTTTCAAAGCTCATAAGAAATCTAGGATTAGCATGATTTTTGTAACAACGACAAAAGATCGAAAAGGTAAGATAACTGTAATAAGTGAAGGAAGAAGTAAGTAAACTATGGATAAACATGCAATAGAATGTGTGTATGAAAGAAAACCAACATACAATGAAAAAAAAGGCATAAACAGAAAAAATAAAAACAAACAAAAGACATAGAAAAGAGACATAAGAAAAGAATTCTAAAAGTTCGAAATGAAAAATAAAGATAAAAGCGTGACGTAACCAATATAACAAAAATGCGATATAGAAACAAGAAAGGGGTGCATAAAAAGATAAAGACGACCAAAGAAAGAAATGTGAAAAAAAACAGAATGTGAGTTAACGAAAGAGATAATTGGAGTGGGAAAGGAAAACAAAGGAAAAGAGAAGATGGAGAGGGAATGGCGTAGAAGAGGAAAAGGGGAATACAATAAAAGTACAACAACGATAAGAAATATACAAAATGAAATGGTGAATCGCTTAAACAAAATAGATTATAATAAGCTAAGGGAAAGAGGGAAGGAAGAGGTGAAAAAATAATAAAAAAATAAAATGAACATAGTAGAATGAAAATGAAAGAGAGAAAAGGGATGAGAGAGAGAATAAGATAAATAAAATCAAATTAAAAATACAGCAATATAGAGTCAGATATGAAAGCGATAAACGATATCATTATCACTATATTTACATTTTATATCGTTATATTCATTATCATAACTACAATTATTATCATTATCATTATCATTATCACCATTTAATAGTGATTTTCATTATTATTAGTTATATATATTTTTTTACTGTTGCTGTTATCATGATAATGATAATGAAAGTAATCATTATTACTATCATTACTGTTATCATTATTGCTATTATTGTTATCATTATTGCTATTATTGTTATCATTATGATTATTATGATTATTATCATCATATTTATTATTATTATTATTATTACTATTACTATTATTATTATTGTTATTACTACTACTACTACTACTACTACTAATACTACTATTATCATTATTTCTATCATCATTATTGTTTTTGTTATCATTATTTTTTATTGTCATTATTATCATTATTCATTAATATTATTATTATCGCCATCATCACTTTTCTTACTATTTTTGACATTATAATTTCAACTGTTATCATAATCATCATCATTATTACTTTTATTATTTTCATTATTATTATCATTATTATCGTTATTATCATTGTCGTTATTTTCTGATCATCATTGTCATTATCATTGTTTATTTTTTATTATTATAACTGTTACTATTACTATTAAAATGATTATCATTTTTACTTATTACTAACATTATCATTATAATCGTCAATGTCAAAGGCATTATTATTATAGTTATATTTGCCATTATCATCATTATCCTTTCCATCTTTAATCATCATTTATTTTCATTTTCTTTATTATCGTTATTGTTTTCATCATTATTATCATAACTATCTTTATCATTATTAATGTTTTAATTTTTATTGCAATCATTATCAATATCATTATCATCACTGATATTACTTCAACATTAATTGTTATTATTATCATTATCATTATACTTGTTATTGCTATTATAATTATTTTCATCATTATGGTCACTGTTATCATATGCGTTATTATTGCAATTTTTATCATTATGACTATCATTGTCAATTTTATAATTCTATCATTAGTGTTACACACACACATACGCATACACGTGCAAAGACTTACACAAACAGGCATGCACACAGACACATTCGTACGCACGCACACACACATGCAGATACGCACAGAGACATACCTACAGGTGCACATGCATACAGACACACGCACGGAAACACATTCACACCCAAACACACACAAATGTGCATACACACAAACGCACACACATCACACATACTCAGGAGCACACATGTACACATGCACGCATACACAAACACAAAACACTATCACATCCATGGTATCAATTGCCGTCAGTGAAATCTGACCTACACTGCAGATGCAAAGAGAAGAAAAAAATGCGGTAGTGTTAATGCTATTATTCTAAATGTTATTGTTATTATTATTATTATTATCATTATTATCATTGTCATTACTATCATCATCTCTTATGATTCTCATTGACATTGTCATTATTATCATCATTTTATCATTATCTAAATATATATATTGTGGATGGAATCATGAAATGTTTTTTGTTGTGCGAATAGAGGCGGCGGTTCGTGAAGCCTCATGTATTTGAATCATGTGAGACTCCGACTTCTGTTTACGAACCCTCGAAGCACTGACCTTGGGAGTTGAGGGATTGCTCTGGCCCTTCTCCCTATTTTTATTATTGTGATTTGTATTCTGGTGAGTATTAAGGCAATTATTATGTTTGATATTGGTGTGAGGGCATAGTGTGTGATAAATATGTGATGATGGCGTTATGCTATGTTTTGTATGTTAATTTTGTCATAGGAATCTGTGGATGTTCTACCATGTGGCCAGTGTTGTAGCGGTTGGACATCTCTTTATATTAATTTGTTGCCGAGTCGTTTACTCTTTGGAGAAGTTACAGTAAAAGGTGTGTTGAAATTGTTTAATGGATGTATTAAGGAATGTTTTGCATGTGGTTTTTATGTGTACTATCTTCTTGAAGGAAATTAACTGTTTACTTTGCTCTTGAGATGTATTGGGCTCCATTTCAACTAGATTGACGATGTAGATGTGTTTTAGGTTTTCTTGATGGTAATTGTTGAAGACCGCGACGCACCCTCGCAGAGACTAAGTCAAAAAAAATGATGTTTTTCTGCATGAAATCCTATGATTTCATCGATTTTCGGCGTTGTTTCTTTTGCGAATGAATCGTTCAGGAGATCGAGTACCATTTCTCCATCGACGATCTTGATTTGATAGTCCCGTTAGCAGGGGAGGGCATGAAGTATATCAGGGAAATTATGGGGTAAAACAAGCTTAAATAAGAAGAATAACGATCAAAAATGCGTAAAACTAGCACAAAAAGCGCTTAAAATCGGCCAATGAAACTCTACGGATGTAACCGCCATCTTTGAAAGTTTACGGACCGACGCGAAATAAATAATAAAAAAAATCTACGGGAACCCAACCCACATTTCGGCAAAAAATCTACGGGAATTCACACGGTCCAACCCCCAAAAACATATTGACCAATAAACCAACCAACCTAATATATCAATATAAATTGCCGTGACTAGGCGTGCCCTTCGGGCACTGCCCGAGGGGAGGGTTGATGGGGGGCAAGCCCCCAACACCCCCAGGACACATTCTCTCCACCACGGTATGTACGGCAAGACAGAGCTGCATTCACACCGTAAAATAATAAACCAAATACCTTTATATCCGGAAACGTGAAACTTTCGTTTCTTTGTACTGTTGGGATTGCTTCGATTTTAATCACCTTTTTTGTCCTTTGGAGCTCTTGATGGGCTCAGATATAAAACTGGGATGGTTACTGAAGTCGAATTATTCTTCGATGCCACTGTAAAGGTCTTAAAAAAGAACCCAGAATCAACACAACATTGGAAACGCAACATTTCTCACCGGCTTTCAATCTCGAAATGAGCGGGTTGGTGAGCTGTCAACCTGTGGCTGGCGCAAGAAAGTGTGAAACACTCGATGCGCAGGATTCGATATGAGGGTATAGATAAATATAAAAATATGCAATTGAAGTATAATAACATTACTAAAAGACTTTAAAGGTATAAATGCGTACCAGCAGACACAGATAATTTGCCAAATATCGTTTTGACAAGCGCGTAATGATACACGGACTAGTTCGCGAACGCAAAAATGCGTTCGTGGGTCAGTGTCGTGTTTTTCCTAGCAAGGTGAACAAGCTCATCGACTTTGAATTTGAAAGGCGGCCGTGCGTTATATTTTCGTCATTTAGCGGTGACTATAAGGCCGGTGCATCTTAAACTATACGCTATCCCCTTCTATTTTTCCCGCTCTATAAGATGGCGGTGTCCATTTTCCTCTATTTACGCGCGTCGCGGTCTTCAACCTCTACCTTCTTGATTTTTGTATTTATGTATTTATTTATGGTAATTTTCTATATTACGTCCGCCGCTCCGACATTGACGATTTTGGTATCGTTGGATTCCTCTCACGCTATACAATGCAAATATGTAGGTTTATTGCGCGGAAATCACCCTATAGTGACAAACTTGGCCCCGATAGCAGGGGTGACGATGTCGGAGCGGCAGACATAATATAGAAAGTTACCCTAATAATATAACCCATGGTGAAAATAACCCTGGTTATTCACATGGCTTCCCATTGCAGGGGGATGTGCCTCCTGCGACCCCCCTGGGGGGGGCTGCCGCCCCCCAAACCCCGCCGAGGTAACAAAGAATTCACCGCGTCTTCACGGCAGGATTGAGCGCATATGTAGATGCATCGAAAAAGGCGCAAAACCCGCCGAGCTGACGAGGGCGGGCCACCGCCGCTCTTATGGTCATGGTATACCTCGTTCATCCTGATTATTCTACAATCAGCTCTATATACAATGCTGATTATGTCAAGGTTAGTATGCTAATTCAGTGGGAATGTTATGAGGTAAATGTAATATAATGTCTGCTGCTCCGACATCGATAATATTTGTGTAACGCTCTAGCATACTGTGAATACATGGTGGAGGTTTTGTTTTCTCGGTGGGGGTTGTGGGACGGTTATTCGTGTGAATAACCATGGTTATTTTCACTGTGGGTTATATTATCAGTGTTATTTAACCCCTCATTTTCCCTGGAACTTTTCATGCCCTCCCCTGCTATCGGGGCCAAGTTTGTTGCTATAGGGGGTTTCCACGCAATAAAAACTATATATTTGCAATTAGGACAGTGCTAGGAATCCAATGATACCAAAATCGTCAATTTAGGAGCGGCGGACGTAATATAGAAAATTACCTTATTTATTTCAGTTGACGCTATTAAGGGAAGTGACAGCAGTTGGACTTTTGGTTACTCCCCTGGGCAGAGGCAGCATTAGTGAACTTTTATGTACTGCTTGAAGACCCCAGTGGACCTCTAGCGACTGGCGTTCATCCTTCTGCTCTCATGGAATGAAGTCTACCAACGCATGCCTACATTGTAAGACCTAATATGTTGTGACTTGTAATTTACCATTTGAAACGTGGCTTGTTTAAAGAGTATTGTTAGTTTACAGCCATGGCACCAGCAGAAGAGTGTCCTAAGGTTCTTTAAATAAAAAAGACACAGGTTACGGTACATTTTCAGTGCCATCCAGCCTCCAATTTTTTAAACTTTTTTTTTGGAATGTATTATTCCTTCACTGTTTAGTGCTATAATGCTGCTGTTCTCCGTCGCATCTGACTGCTTGACTAGTGACATAACTTGTACTTCCTGACGTCAAGGTTGCCTAAGTGTGTAAGCCTAGGTTTTACACTGTATTTCTAGGAAGAATATGCATGATTTACTCACAGCAAAGTATATCAAAACAACTAAAAAAGCTTTAAACCATATTTGTTGAAACTCAGATGGGGTCTTGCTTTCAAAACAATTTTGATATTTTTGTGTCGGTAATCCATTAACTTGAATGAATCTAGAGGTTATTCGTTGTGCAAACGAATTGTTGAGAAGTGACAATTTTATTGAGGTTTGCCGATGGTAATGTTGATAGCCTGTGGAAAAACGGTATTTCGCCGACTTCCTAAACGGTTTGTTATAAAACTGACATGAATACAAATGCATATTAACCTAAAATCATAATAATATACTAAATGAGTCCCTAAAATTATTGTGAACAACTCTACTGACATAGTAAATTCCCCAACGATGTGAATGTCTCCAAAATATGCGTAAAACTAAAATTCATAATTCAACATGACTTTTATAGTTCTGCTTATCTTTCGACAATGTTTAATGATATTGTCGGTCTTTATCTTGACCGACGATATTGTCAGTATGAGTAAATGTTGCAGCGCTCTTTCAATGATCGGCGCGCTCTCCGCGCCTGTCTCTGATATAACTAACACGTGTCCAATATATTAACTTGAACGGAACCAATTATGTCTTTTAGACGTTTCCTATTTTGAGTTTTATTTTCTGTAAACGGTAGCTGCTTTGAAAGCCGTTGTAGCTTCATGCCCAGCAACTCCGTACCAAATTTTAATATGCCGTATGATAGAATTTACCCTTGCATTTGTGGCGCTCGAACTTCATGCCTCTTTAATTTACTGCAACCGTGGGTAATGATGTACAATGTACCAAGATCAACGCACAGAACTAGGGTGAAATGGATACCATCTTAGTCATATCGGACCGTTGTATTTACCATAAAATAAGTTATATATTCGCTGTATATTACAGAAAGTACACAAAACCCTCACACAGATGGAGTTCACCATGTTCGTTTTCTCCAAGTTAGCACAAAGCACTAGTTAAAGGGGTGGGGGTCCATGAGGGCTTCCCCTCCCTGTTTAAAAAATAAACTGAAGGTAGGAATTTTTTTTTGGGGGGGGGGCCACAAGAGACCCAAGTTTTGGGTCTTACTCTGCGATGTCAGTGTCGCTAGAAAAATGCAGTATGTCATTATAATAACTCAAATAAGTAGCGCAGCAACTTATGTCTATATATTATAAATCATTATTCATTATGCATGCTATAATATATAAAGTTTATTGAAAATCACTCGCGTTACCCTCTTTAAATCTTTGTATAGACACGTTTTTACACCATATGCATACTATATTTATAATTAACCTACAATTTTTTTACATTTATATAAACAGTCCGTTTATCGTAATTTTAATGCAAAAAATAATATTGTAAGCTTTTGTCCAAGAACAAATATTACCCGGTTTTCTGTACGCGTACTAACCTTTTAAAACGTTGCGGCCACATTCTTCTGCAACATCTTAGTCATGGCCTTATAGATGTGTAAGCAACCTTTATACAACAGTAGCTTTATCTTGCACTGGCAAGCAATAAGCTAGATTTTTATATACATAAATTTTCAACACTTGTTCCCTCTCAACAACAGACAAAGACAGACTGAACCATTTGTGGGAGGAGAGCAGAGCTCCCATGAATTTACATATTTTGATTGGTCAGTTAAAGTGATGTCACTTAAGTTTTCATTGGTTAACTTTTGTCTTGCAACACAAACCACTGATTTGCTAGTAATTGTCAATTACACAAGGTATACCATACTTTACATGTAATAAGATAATACTGCATTATCCTTTGTGATTTCTTGTTATGTGTGATATATTCTTACAATTTTGTATATATATGAATATATAGACATGGATATATAGACATACATATATACACACATATACACATACATATACATATATGCACATAAACATGCATGATGTGTTTCGAAATACAGCACAACCATGAGGACTAATACTATTATGCTTTAGGTAGACCTATAGCAAATAACGTTACATTATATCGTTAATCATAAACTAAAGGTGATCTTTCTGAAAAAAAAAAAAAAAAAAAAAATCTTGGAAGGTAAGAACAGATGTCAATGCCTCAGAACCTCCCTGCTCCATAGTCGCTTTCCTCCGGAGTCACAGACCTGTGACGGCGGCGGCGGAAGCGTCGCTCAGCTCTGGCTGCAGCTCACTCTCACTCCCTCCCCTGGACCTGCAAATTCGAAATCAGGGTGGGGGGTATCTTCCATCGGAAGTACAGCAGAAAGCTTCCCTGCGAAAAAACAAAATTGTGCTCCAAAGAGACGAGGCTGCAAACGAACTGCATACGTTCCAAACCTGCAAATTTACTCTTGGAACACTTGCGCCATACTTTAGATTGCAGGGACTCGTTGGCGTTCTGTGTGTACTCTGGAAGACACCTGGAAAGCAAGTCATCTTTAGTCAGGTCCTCGTATACCGCTCGGATCTCCTGCAATACTGCCGGCGGTACCGTCCTGAGAAAGAGATTCTCCTGGGAATGAGAACGAGGAACTCGACCTGCTGCTCTCGCCGTGTTGTAAAAGCACCAGCTGTCTGCGCCATCTGGACAATACTGGTGCTGCACCCTGAAATCGTTGGAAGAATGATAGTAAAAAGGCGCGCTGGCGTTCTTCCGCATGTTCTCCAGGCTGGTGTTGATGGAGCGCTTCAAAGCCAACGTAGATAACCTAGATGAAAGATCTATGTTTTTATTAATTAGCGTGCATGCCAAGAGGAGCGGCACATGACCCGGCCGGTGCGGGTAGTAACGGGGTGGTGAGAGTCCCCTTCAGCTTACGGAGCCGAGTGCCCATCCGCTTCCGACGTGATTCACAGACACGTACTTTACTACCTCCCTGTCGGGCCATAGATAAAACGGACGCTCCTGTAAGCAGAAGAATCCCCATCACCAACGAAGTAAGCGTACCACAGGCCAAAATCTGTAGAACGAAGAAACATCCTTTGAGCCTCCTTTACTTCCATCCGCCCAGCAGGTCCATCGAAGTTCTTACTGCAATGGGTATGTGAGAGAAACCAGTTGGCATAGTCATTAGCTGGTAGGGATTGGCGCTTCCTCTCGCAAACACTGCACAGGTTACACAGCACCTGCTTATCCAAAATGGCACCAGTATTAGCTTCAACTATAAACGCCAATCCGATTGATCTGGTGCCCACGGGTCTCCCAAGCACAATCGAAGGAAACGATGATATCAGAAATACCATCAGCGTCAGGAGCTACATTCTGGTCGGTCCTGTAGAACTCCTTCACTCTCTCATGTGCTAGTTGGATCTTGCTGTTAAAGAATCTCTCAGCCTGAGAATACAAATAGTGAGCATAATCATAATACCTATGTGTACTGATGATTCTGCTTCCATCCATACTGGCTACCCTGCAATAACTGGCATAGCCGTCATCATTAACAAGGCTACAATACACTAGCATCGCAGTAAAGACATTGCCTCTGGTGGTATCTGTAAGAGGAAAAGTTTCCGGCGATGTATGGGAGACCTCGCCACACATTCTGCAATCCAAAGTAAATACCGAGACGTTATCTACTGTGTCGCGTTCCAACAGGACTCTACCATACACACTGCAGCTAACTCCCTCCAACAAATCTGCGAACATAGTCTGTTAGACGAGATGCTGCTGCACGTGGGTCTACGGTGCCTTACTCCGGGATACCTGAAAACATACGCTTCCGCAAGGATGTCATCTTCGCTAAGCCATCAGCATCATCACCACCAACATCCCCCTCATCTGCTACAGAACCGGCTGACCTGGGACTGTCCTCGGAACTCAGCCACAGATCCAGGTCCTGTGATTGCCTAGAACCACTAGAAACGGGAGGGAAATCATGAGAGGATAATCACTGCCGGATACTGCTTCAGGTGACCTGGAAGGAGAAGACGAGTCACTTGGTGAGGGGAAACGAGCCCACGATGTTGAAGCCACCGGTGACCTGGCATGCGAGGTTGAAGGCACTGGCCATCTGGAACGAGAAACAGAAGACATGCATGACAAGTCACATGGTGTCAATGACACCGATAATCTTCCACGTGGTGTCGCTGACAGCGGTGACCTGCCGCGCGATGGTAAAGGTGAGCGTGCCCGCAAGGTACTAGCAACAGGCGACCTGGAACGCGAGGTGGAAGCTACAGGCGAGCTGGCACGAGAGGTCGAAGGCACAGACGACCTGGAAGAAGAACGAGACATGCGTATATGCTGCTCCTCTCCACCAGCGTCGCTGGATACCGAAGTTGACGGGGACCTGGAATGCAAACGAGGTTACGTTTTTCCAGTAGAGCCTTCAGCATTCTTCTGCATCTTCTTCCCCTTGCAGGTACCTGAAACTGAAGCCTTGCGAGGCATGCTCGACCTTACCTAAGATAAAGCAAAGAAATTAGTGAGAGCTCGATGTCTGCAACCTGCTCACGCCAACAGCGACCAATGCTCTGAGGCTTCTAGTAAATTCGACACAGATTTGGCGCCTTCTACTTGGTGCGAGGTGCTAAATCTTAATTAATAGGTACCTCTTGTTCTTTTACCAGACATTCTTATCAAGTTCTGTATATCTCTAGCTAACACACACTAATTATGCAGTTTCATCGTATAGCAGAAATCCTAATATCTCTACGTATTTCAGAAAATTGATCCTTCTAAAAGTAATTGAATTCTACAGGAGACGCGAGGGATGGATGGAAAATTTGGAGGGAGTTGAGGTATGGATTATTTCATACCTACTAAACGTCTTCTGATTGTACTGATACAGTGTATACTTCATGTATACGCGTAAGCAAATATACTAATTCTCATTGAATTCCGATTCATTATGCATGCTATAATATATAAAGTTTATTGAAAATCACTCGCGTTACCCTCTTTAAATCTTTGTATAGACACGTTTTTACACCATATGCATACTATATTTATAATTAACCTACAATTTTTTACATTATATAAACCGTCCGTTTATCGTAATTTTAATGCAAAAAATAATATTGTAAGCTTTTGTCCAAGAACAAATATTACCCGGTTTTCTGTACGCGTACTAACCTTTTAAAACGTTGCGGCCACATTCTTCTGCAACATCTTAGTCATGGCCTTATAGATGTGTAAGCAACCTTTATACAACAGTAGCTTTATCTTGCACTGGCAAGCATAAGCTAGATTTTTATATACATAAATTTTCAACACTTGTTCCCTCTCAACAACAGACAAAGACAGACTGAACCATTTGTGGGAGGAGAGCAGAGCTCCCATGAATTTACGTATTTTGATTGGTTAGTTAAAGTGATGTCACTTAAGTTTTCATTGGTTAACTTTTGTCTTGCAACACAAACCACTGATTTGCTAGTAATTGTCAATTACACAAGGTATACCATACTTTACATGTAATAAGATAATACTGCATTATCCTTTGTGATATCTTGTTATGTGTGATATATTCTTACAATTTTGTATATATATGAATATGTAGACATGGATATATAGACATACATATATGCACACATATACACATACATATACATATATGCACATAAACATGCATGATGTGTTTCGAAATACAGCACAACCATGAGGACTAATACTATTATGCTTTAGGTAGACCTATAGCAAATAACGTTACATTATATCGTTAATCATAAACTAAAGGTGATCTTTCTGAAAAAAAAAAAAAAAAAAAAATCTTGGAAGGTAAGAACAGATGTCAATGCCTCAGAACCTCCCTGCTCCATAGTCGCTTTCCTCCGGAGTCACAGACCTGTGACGGCGGCGGCGGAAGCGTCGCTCAGCTCTGGCTGCAGCTCACTCTCACTCCCTCCCCTGGACCTGCAAATTCGAAATCAGGGTGGGGGGTATCTTCCATCGGAAGTACAGCAGAAAGCTTCCCTGCGAAAAACCAAAATTGTGCTCCAAAGAGACGAGGCTGCAAACGAACTGCATACGTTCCAAACCTGCAAATTTACTCTTGGAACACTTGCGCCATACTTTAGATTGCAGGGACTCGTTGGCGTTCTGTGTGTACTCTGGAAGACACCTGGAAAGCAAGTCATCTTTAGTCAGGTCCTCGTATACCGCTCGGATCTCCTGCAATACTGCCAGCGGTACCGTCCTGAGAAAGAGATTCTCCTGGGAATGAGAACGAGGAACTCGACCTGCTGCTCTCGCCGTGTTGTAAAAGCACCAGCTGTCTGCGCCATCTGGACAATACTGGTGCTGCACCAGAAATCGTTGGAAGAATGGTAGTAAAAAGGCGCGCTGGCGTTCTTCCGCATGTTCTCCAGGCTGGTGTTGATGGAGCGCTTCAAAGCCAACGTAGATAACCTAGATGAAAGATCTATGTTTTTATTAATTAGCGTGCATGCCAAGAGGGAGCGGCGCATGACCCGGCCGGTGCGGGTAGTAACCGGGGTGGTGAGAGTCCCCTTCAGCTTACGGAGCCGAGTGCCCATCCGCTTCCCGACGTGATTCACAGACACATACTTTACTACCTCCCTGTCGGGGCCATAGATAAAACGGACGCTCCTGTAAGCAGAAGAATCCCCATCACCAACGAAGTAAGCGTACCACAGGCCAAAATCTGTAGAACGAAGAAACATCCTTTGAGCCTCCTCTACTTCCATCCGCCCAGCAGGTCCATTGAAGTTCTTACTGCAATGGGTATGTGAGAAAACCAGTTGGCATAGTCATTAGCTGGTAGGGATTGCGCTTCCTCTCGCAAACACTGCACAGGTTACACAGCACCTGCTTATCCAAAATGGCACCAGTATTAGCTTCAACTATAAACGCCAATCCGATGTGACTCTGGTGCCCACGGGTCTCCCAAGCACAATCGAAGGAAACGATGATATCAGAAATACCATCAGCGTCAGGAGCTACATTCTGGTCGGTCCTGTAGAACTCCTTCACTCTCTCATGTGCTAGTTGGATCTTGCTGTTAAAGAATCTCTCAGCCTGAGAATACAAATAGTGAGCATAATCATAATACCTATGTGTACTGATGATTCTGCTTCCATCCATACTGGCTACCTTGCAATAACTGGCATAGCCGTCATCATTAACAAGGCTACAATACACTAGCATCGCAGTAAAGACATCGCCTCTGGTGGTATCTGTAAGAGGAAAGTTTCCGGCAATGTATGGGAGACCTCGCCACACATTCTGCAATCCAAAGTAAATACCGAGACGTTATCTACTGTGTCGCGTTCCAACAGGACTCTACCCATACACACACTGCAGCTAACTCCTCCAACAAATCTGCGAACATAGTCTGTTAGACGAGATGCTGCTGCACGTGGGTCTACGGTGCCTTACTCCGGATACCTGAAAACATACGCTTCCGCAAGGATGTCATCTTCGCTAAGCCATCAGCATCATCACCACCAGCATCCCCCTCATCTGCTACAGAACCGGCTGACCTGGGACTGTCCTCGGAACTCAGCCAGAGATCCAGGTCCTGTGATTGCCTAGAACCACTAGAAACGGGAGGGAAATCATGAGAGGATAATCACTGCCGGATACTGCTTCAGGTGACCTGGAAGGAGAAGACGAGTCACTTGGTGAGGGGAAACGAGCCCACGATGTTGAAGCCACCGGTGACCTGGCATGCGAGGTTGAAGGCACTGGCCATCTGGAACGAGAAACAGAAGACATGCATGACAAGTCACATGGTGTCAATGACACCGATGATCTTCCACTTGGTGTCGCTGACAGCGGTGACCTGCCGCGCGATGGTAAAGGTGAGCGTGCCCGCAAGGTACTAGCAACAGGCGACCTGGAACGCGAGGTGGAAGCTACAGGCGAGCTGGCACGAGAGGTGGAAGGCAGACGACCTGGAAGAAGAACGAGACATGCGTATATGCTGCTCCTCTCCACCAGCGTCGCTGGATACCGAAGTTGACGGGGACCTAGAATGCAAACGAAGGTTACGTTTTTCCAGTAGAGCCTTCAGCATCTTCTGCATCTTCTTCCCCTTGCAGGTACCTGAAACTGAAGCCTTGCGAGGCATGCTCGACCTTACCTAAGATAAAGCAAAGAAATTAGTGAGAGCTCGGATGTCTGCAACCTGCTCACGCCAACAGCGACCAATGCTCTGAGGCTTCTAGTAAATTCGACACAGATTTGGCGCCTTCTACTTGGTGCGAGGTGCTAAATCTTAATTAATAGGTACCTCTTGTTCTTTTACCAGACATTCTTATCAAGTTCTGTATATCTCTAGCTAACACACACTAATTATGCAGTTTCATCGTATAGCAGAAATCCTAATATCTCTACGTATTTCAGAAAATTGATCCTTCTAAAAGTAATTGAATTCTACAGGAGACGCGAGGGATGGATGGAAAATTTGGAGGGGAGTTGAGGTATGGATTTATTTCATACCTACTAAACGTCTATGGTATAACGTCTTCTGATTGTACTGATACAGTGTATACTTCATGTATACGCGTAAGCAAATATACTAATTCTCATTGAATTCCGATTCATTCTTTAAATCTTTGTATAGACACGTTTTTACACCATATGCATACTATATTTATAATTAACCTACAATTTTTTTACATTTATATAAACCGTCCGTTTATCGTAATTTTAATGCAAAAAATAATATTGTAAGCTTTTGTCCAAGAACAAATATTACCCGGTTTTCTGTACGCGTACTAACCTTTTAAAACGTTGCGGCCACATTCTTCTGCAACATCTTAGTCATGGCCTTATAGATGTGTAAGCAACCTTTATACAACAGTAGCTTTATCTTATAATTTATAAGAAAATAGTAAAAAGAAATAGTAAAAAGCAAGAAATGTCAATATTTAGTTTCCTTAATCCCTTCATTGCAGGAATTATGATTTTCAATAATTAATTCACCTGAAGGACATATTTTCCCTGTTTTCTAAGAAAACAGTGGTGGTGGCGGCGACCTCAATCATAACAGAAATCTAATATTATATCTATTTATTCTAGATTTTGATATATATATGTATATACATACATATATATGTATATACATATAACATACATATGTATATACATACATATGTATATATATACACATACACATATATACATATATAAGTAATATATGTATGTATATGTATGTATGTATATATATGCATATATATATATATATATATATATATATATATATATATATATATATGTATATATATATATATATATATATATGTATATATATATATATATATATATATATATATATATATATATATATATATATATATATATATATATATATATATATATATATATATATATATATATATATATATATATATATATATATATATATATATATATATATATAATATATATATATATATATATATATAATATAAATATATATATATAATATATATATAATATATATATATATTATATATATATATATATATATATATATATATATATATATATATATATATATATATATAATATATATATATATATATATATATATATATATATATATATTATATTATATATATATATATATATATATATATATATATATATATATATATATATATATATATATATATATATATATATATATATATATATATATATATTATATATATATATATATATATATATATATATATATATATATATATATATATATATATATATATATATATATATATATGCAT